AGCAAGCTGTAGCCCAGCGCAATATTGTATAGTGGTCTCTCTGGGTGCAGTAGACATCAGTTGGACATAGCGATTACTAGAATGAAGAGCGTAGTCTTATATAGAATGAAGTCTTCATTCTATATCTACTGCGCAAAATGGCCGCACTCCGGCGGCCATGTTCCCGCTCGGTACGCTGATGAGACTCGATGGATTTCTCCTAAACTCCGCCGATTGCATGATGTAATTTTTTAGTGTAATATGACTTAAGACAAGAAACCAAGGATCTGTTACTAAACATCAACAATTTCTCTGTCCCGCGGTATACCTTCCATTTCCACCTATAAAACACTTTACGTACACACCTGCCATCATTGTTCTTTTCTGCTTCAAATTAAGGCTAATATGCATACTACGGACCCGCCTAATAAGCATGTATTTTTTCTTTGGCGGTTCCCCCACCGCAGTATGCCCGCAGGTGCGGCGCGGCCCGTCATTTCGTACTAATGGGCGACTTAGTAATTATGAATTGGTAGTGAATTGATGAAGGATTAGAGCTTTGCGTATCGCTGATCTATTTTGTGACAATTTAACGCACTAAAGTTCTTATTATCATATAAACCTATATACAATACTGTGTACACACCTTGTTGTTAATTCGGGTGTGAGTGGTGAATAGTTGTTGAGCTGGTTTACTACGGAAAGCGAGTGGCTTAATACACATTAATTTGTCTTTCGCCGGTCAGGGGGTGGTCGTGGGACGGTGACGGGGTTGTGGGGAGGTTGTAGGGTGAAAGAGGAATGTGAGGGGCGAGGAAGCGGGGGCGGGCCAGTCTAATGGTTTTATAATCCTCTGACGAGTTAAGGCGGACGTATTGGTTCGCGCCGTTTGTGTGTGTGGTGGTGTGTGTGTGTGTGTTGTGTGGTGTGGTGTGTGTGCTGGTGTGTCGTGTGTGTGTGTTTGTGTGCGTGTGCGTGTGGTGTGGTCATGACTTGTGTATATGCGTCGGTGGTGTGCCGGTGCGTGTGCGTGCGCGTGCGCGTGCGCGTGCGCGTGCATGTGTGTCGTTCCTGTCTGCGATTTTTGGCAACCGTTAGAAGTAGAAATATCAAACTGGTCAGAGGTGGAACCCTATTGATTTTGAGTGCCTTTCACCTAAGGTCATGATCACAGGTCTCACATTTGGATGAATGGGACTAGCATAGAATGGAGAATAGATATATAGATAGATAAAGAGGATCAGCATATGTAGATAGGATAGGATGGATAGATAGATAGCAAAATAAATGCATTGATAGATGAATATTGCCGCTGACGTGCGAGCGTGCAGTGCGGAGGACCTTTGATTCCAGCAAGCCATGCGCGTGTGCCCTGCGCGGAGCACTGCACAGGTAGCGACAGACTAGACTGTTCCGTAGCCTGTAGTTTGCGTGTGTAAGGTTACGCCAGCGCACCTAGCGGAAAGTGAAGCTGAAGGTCGTGCATGTTTTCCGGGAGATTTTACCATATCATTTTCTAATATTAGGTTTTTTAACTCACCCACAATAAATGACAAAAAGCAAGTGTTAGAATTCGACCTTTTGACTGCGTAGGATGAGGCACGAAATATTATCGTGCACGCGCTAGAAAGTTATGCAGGAACAAACAGCTAGACGACACCATACAAATCTTATTATCAGAATGGTGTGCTGCCGTGGGCCGAATGTTGACGTTAACTGCTCTGCATTTTCATATTGCTTTTGCGGGAATCCAAATATCAAGCGCTTTTTTGGGTAATGCATGCGATACCAAGTACACATAAGTGCGTAAAGCACGCGCGCAAATTACGAAGAGAAGATTGGCGAGGGCGCATAGCCACACGTAAGTGTACCGTGCAAATCGCGTGAAAGACGCGAGGCGTGAAATTGCGAAAACGGTCAAAACAAGTGAGTACCCTCCTGGTTAAACGACGTTTTGTCTCGCCTTTCTGAGCAACGAATAAAAATATTTCTTTGTTAGAGTAGAAATTTGAGGCGGCAACACCTGGGAGAAGACTCTGTCTCATTTTTAGAGTCACCTCCCACATTTTACGAAAGTACGATATGGCGGGTTTTTTAACGCATTACTTTCGAGCAGAACCCAACATGCGTCTAAAATGGAATTGCTTCCTACTTGTGATTGGAGGATAAGATTTGAATTCATGACGTTCGTCTTCAATTTCGCTTTAGCCTATGACTGAGTATGAGCCGGATATCGCCGCTACATATTTGCTAATTAATACGCTAATCGCATCCGGTCAAACTCAAGACTCCGCAGGATCAAGTTAAAGGTGTCTATAATAGTCTAGGAAGTTATAGCAATTGTTAACTCAACGTTCGGCGTCCATATAATAGTTAGTTAAATGTACAATTGCCTACCGGGCCATAACCGCGCATATATTAGCCTATGCAGCGATCAATGCGGCGGTGCATATTTGCTAATTAATTAGACGTGATCGCGCTTACTCAGACTCAAGCAATCACAGATATTAAGGCTAAGACATGTGTTTTATAGACAGAAGTTGATAGAAATGTAACTCAAGTCGCTTTCCGCGCATATGTAGTTTAGTTACACTTTTCCTCACCGGTCATAGCTATTAGCGGTATGCCAAATGAAAACGAAACGTCGACTGATTCTATTGTTATCCTCCAATCACAGGGTCGCGGCACATGACTGCCGTTTAACGCATGTGTGAGTATAACGTCAGAAAGCACCGGGGTGCAGTAGGCCCTCGGTTAAACGACGTTTGTCCGCCTTCTGACAACCAAATGACTATTCTGCCTAGAGTATTAGACACATCCCTGAAGATGACCTCGTTAATTTTAAGACTGTACCCCACATTTTCGATATTTGGGGTTTAAGGAGTACTTTTCTAGATTGAGCGGATATGATGAGAGCTAGCATTTATAAAATGAATGCACATACCTATAAATATTCTATACATTACGCATTGACGTTGTCAAAACAAACATTAAAGTTTTGATATTCCTTTATTTTTCGGCACGGACATGACACCCGCGATCGTGCTGTTCCACCCTGAAAATTGCGCATTAAGTTCACAGTTATGTTGCACGTTACGTACAAGCCGCCGAGGGTAGTCACAAAAAGTGCTATGCATATTATACCTAATATGCTCCTTTAACCGAACGATATTCATTTTACGACAAATTTAGTCCATATTATAATCTGCAACTATATATATAGTCCGCTTATAAGATGAATTGCGATCCTTCTGCTTTTAAATTAATAAATTAAGAAAACACCCCTTTGGGTCTGTAGCACTTGGCTGAGAAAGTCGGGTTGTGCAAACTTTTCAGAGTTTGTGCGCTGTTGAGTAGGCCGCCAACACGTCGGTTGATAATTCAACCTGTAGTTCTCGTTAGTTTAAACAAGTTTTTTTTAAACATTTCTAAATCGGCGATTAAAACCAGTTGTGAAATTTTTATATAGTAATCTTAACCTAGTTCAACTGAGAAATAACCCTAGAACCTAGAGGTCAAGTGATTTCTTTAAAATGCTACTCTTGACGCAGAAGGTCCTTTACGAGTCACTGGGAACATTTGCGGCCCCTGTTCCAAACATACTCAAGACACCCATGCTTTATAGATTAGTTAACTATATATTCAGGGACCGAGCCACGAGCTAGACAGTAATGTGTGGGGGGTTCTTGGCTGTGCTACACGCTTGTGCTTTCATTTATAAGAGAACGGGTCATGGGTTAACCGACCCGCGGCTAGCGGCGGTCAACCACGAAGACATTAAGGGGGTCTGGGGGTTTGGGTTCGGGGTTGGACTCTAGGGTCCCCAGAAATTTTTTTGAAAAATGTAATTTGGCTCCCAGGTCATTTTCCCAGCACTTTAAAGATAGGTAGTTTCTTTTTAATGCTAACAAATGGTTTTTGGAGTTAAGTGACTGTAGGATTCGATGTTTCTCGAACAAAAGTTTCAGTTCTAAATGCTTTAAATTCTCCAATTTAGCTGATCATTGATTTGTATAAAGTGATTTAACTTCAATTATTAGTGTACGGGTTCACTTGAGACCGGAACTTTACAACGGTTAAGTGTTTATGGAAGGATAAAAAAATTAAACTTTACCACTATGATAAATCTAATATTTTCTAAATGAATCTGTATTCTACATATGATACATAGAGTCTCCAATATTGTATAGAAATTTAGCTGATTCATGTATTGATATTCTTTACTTTATGTACATGTTCTACACTTCATTTCTTTAGATTGACGGAGAAGCTTCCATAAGGCTTTTTTGATAGGGATATTTGCTTAGCTTTTACTGTTACTAACCCTTTACACAGACTTGTCACATTACTATAATATGTTATCAATTCTGTATATATACTACTTGCGCTTTTCATTTGTTTGTCATTTTCTTAACCATGCACGTGTATATGGAGTAGAGACATCATTTTGAGTACAAGTCGAGTTTTGATATTTTATGAACCTCACTATGCTTTCCTATTAAAGTTTTTTTGGTGATTTGTACGGTGGCATCATGGGGGGTCCTAACAAACAAAATTTTCAACGCTTGGTTACCCAAATGGCACTTGGGGCAAAACTCTAGTTAATTTTGAAAAACAATTCCAAAATAGCGCTAAGACGCTCCATCTTTCAAAATTAAACTCTTTTAACACCATCGTGACCTAAATGATGTTGAATGCGTCTTTTAGTATGGGTTTTTTAGGTTGCGTATCAATTTATTTCTTAACGTTATTTTTTTGATTCAAGGTCAGGGTCAGCAAGCTAAAGGTCAAGTCCAGGTTCAGAATTTTAACTAATTATATTTTAAGTTTATTCATTGACAGGAATTTGAAGAATCATATATCATTCTTGACATAGTTTGGCGATGAAAAACATGCTAAGGTGAAAACAGGGTAAG